CATGCTTCACAGTAGGTATGGTGTTCTTTGGATGCAACTCAGCATTCATCCTCCAAACACGACGAGTTGAGTTTTTACCAAAAAGTTATATTTTGGTTTCATCTGACCATATGACATTCTCCCAATCCTCTTCTGGATCATCCAAATGCACTCTAGCAAACTTCAGACGGGCCTGGACATGTACTGGCTTAAGCAGGGGCACACGTCTGGCACTGCAGGATTTGAGTGCCTGGCAGCGTGTTACTGATGGTAGGCTTTGTTACTTTGGTCCCAGCTCTCTGCAGGTCATTCACTAGGTCCCCCCGTGTGGTTCTGGGATTTTTGCTCACCGTTCTTGTGATCATTTTGACCCCACGGGGTGAGATCTTGCGTGGAGCCCCAGATCGAGGGAGATTATCAGTGGTCTTGTATGTCTTCCATTTCCTAATAATTGCTCCCACAGTTGATTTCTTCAAACCAAGCTGCTTACCTATTGCAGATGCAGTCTTCCCAGCCTGGTGCAGGTCTACAATTTTGTTTCTGGTGTCCTTTGACAGCTCTTTGGTCTTGGCCATAGTGGAGTTTGGAGTGTGACTGTTTGAGGTTGTGGACAGGTGTCTTTTATATTGATAACAAGTTCAAACAGGTGCCATTAATACAGGTAACGAGTGGAGGACAGAGGAGCCTCTTAAAGAACAAGTTACAGGTCTGTGAGAGCCAGAAATCTTGCTTGTTTGTAGGTGACCAAATACTTATTTTCCACCATAATTTGCAAATAAAATCATTAAAAATCCTACAATGTGATTTTCTGGATTTTTTTCTCTCAATTTGTCTGTCATAGTTGACGTGTACCTATGATGAAAATTACAGGCGTCTCTCATCTTTTTAAGTGGGAGAACTTGCACAATTGGTGGCTGACTAAATACTTTTTTCCCCCACTGTACATCCACAGGTACACCTCCTATTGACTCAAATTATGTCAATTAGCCTATCAGAAGCTTCTAAAGCCATGACATCATTTTCTGGAATTTTCCAAGCTGTTTCAAGGCACAGTCAACTTAGTGTATGTAAACTTCTGACCCACTGGATGTGTGATACAGTGAACTATAAGTGAAATAATCTGTCTGTAAACAATTGTTCGAAAAATTACTTGTGTCATGCACAAAGTAGATGTCCTAACCAACTTGCCAAAACTATAGTTTGTTAACGAGAAATTTGTGGAGTATTTGAAAAACAAGTTTTAATGACTCCAACCTAAGTGTACAGTGGGGAGAACAAGTATTTGATACACTGCCGATTTTGCAGGTTTTCCTACTTAGAAAGCACGTAGAGGTCTGTAAAATCCAGAAAATCACATTGTATGATTTTTAAGTAATTCATTTGCATTTTATTGCATGACGTAAGTATTTGATACATCAGAAAAGCAGAACTTAATATTTGGTACAGAAACCTTTGTTTGCAATTACAGAGATCATATGTTTCCTGTAGGTCTTGACCAGGTTTGCACACACTGCAGCAGGGATTTTGACCCACTCCTCCATACAGACCTTCTCCAGATCCTTCAGGTTTCGGGGCTGTCGCTGGGCAATACGGACTTTCAGCTCCCTCCAAAGATTTTCTATTGGGTTCAGGTCTGGAGACTGGCTAGGCCACTCCAGGACCTTGAGATGCTTCTTACGGAGCCACTCCTTAGTTGCCCTGGCTGTGTGTTTCGGGTCGTTGTCATGCTGGAAGACCCAGCCATGACCCATCTTCAATGCTCTTACTGAGGGAAGGAGGTTGTTGGCCAAGATCTCGCGATACATGGCCCCATCCATCCTCCCCTCAATACGGTGCAGTCGTCCTGTCCCCTTTACAGAAAAGCATCCCCAAAGAATGACGTTTCCACCTCCATGCTTCACGGTTGGGATGGTGTTCTTGGGGTTGTACTCATCCTTCTTCTACCTCCAAACACGGCGAGTGGAGTTTAGACCAAAAAGCTCTATTTTTGTCTCATCAGACCACATGACCTTCTCCCATTCCTCCTCTGGATCATCCAGATGGTCATTGGCAAACTTCAGACGGGCCTGGTCATGGGCTGGTTTGAGCAGGGGGACCTTGCGTGCGCTGCAGGATTTTAATCCATGACGGTGTAGTGTGTTACTAATGGTTTTCTTTGAGACTGTGGTCCCAGCTCTCTTCAGGTCATTGACCAGGTCCTGCCGTGTAGTTCTGGGCTGATCCCTCACCTTCCTCATGATCATTGATGCCCCACAAGGTGAGATCTTGCATGGAGCCCCAGACCGAGGGTGATTGACCGGCATCTTGAACTTCTTCCATTTTCTAATAATTGCGCCAACAGTTGTTGCCTTCTCACCAAGCTGCTTGCCTATTGTCCTGTAGCCCATCCCAGCCTTGTGCAGGTCTACAATTTTATCCCTGATGTCCTTACACAGCTCTCTGGACTTGGCCATTGTGGAGAGGTTGGAGTCTGTTTGATTGAGTGTGTGGACAGGTGTCTTTTATACAGGTAACGAGTTCAAACAGGTGCAGTTAATACAGGTAATGAGTGGAGAACAGGAGAGCTTCTTAAAGAAAAACTAACAGGTCTGTGAGAGCCGGAATTCTTACTGGTTGGTAGGTGATCAAATACTTATGTCATGCAATAAAATGCAAATGAATTACTTAAAATTCATACAATGTGATTTTCTGGATTTTTGTTTTAGATTCCGTCTCTCACAGTTGAAGTGTACCTATGATAAATATTACAGACCTCTACATGGTTTGTAAGTAGGAAAACCTGCAAAATCGGCAGTGTATCAAATACTTGTTCTCCCCACTGTATGTAAACTTCCGACTTCAACAGTATATTAGTGTGATCTTGCCAACTTCTATGTCATTGTCCTGCCAAAACAGCACAGACAGACTCAGGTGTCAGTATGACTTGACTTTCAGATGTTATTAGTAGGTAAAACAACAATTGTGGGTTCTCAGAGTGACTCTGTTTAGATATAACTGGAGACACCATGTAAGACTTTATGAAATAAACATTTATTGATGCAAAAGAATCAAAACAATAGAAGACATATCTATATAGGGACAAATGGCAATAAATACCACTTCAGTGGATGGGGCTCTACACACATAGAGAGGGGGCATTATGGCACAAGGAATCAATGGGATATAAAATCATGTGACAGAAACTAACATTTCAGATTCTCTTCTAAGAGTCCTAAAAACCCTTTCCTACAGTCGAATGACAAAAGCACCCTCTAGTGGCCTCATGGGTCGAACATTATTAATATTTTTCATAATGAATAAGTATTACTTTATTTCAAACACTGAAAATCTGGTGTTTCTGTATCAAACGGTTTTGTTATATTTCAGCCGTCTATGATGTATATGAAGTGTGATACTGGGATGCAAACTCAAAATTGAATACATTTCAACTCTATATCTGACATGGTACAGTTGTCTTCTTTTTTGTAAGCCCCATAACTATGCGTGTGAGGTGTATACTTTAGTTTCAAAGTAGATTTGTTTAAGACTACCAAGAAACACTGTGTGACCCTGATTTAGCCCACTGCAGTAAAAGGTTTTAAAGAGGCAGAGAAACTACAAACAGAACTACAAAATCATTCCAGTGCTTTTAAGTCAAACTGGGACTAGACAGTCATTAGCATCTTAACTGTAACCATCCATCTTTTTCTCCTGCCAACCTTCTCTAAAATATGATTGCTTGTTTATTCAGAATGGATATAGAAAATCTACACTGAGTATACAAAACATTAGGAACACCTTCCTAATAATGAGTTTCAACTCTTTTGCCCTCAGAAAAGCCTCAATTCATTGGGGCATGGACTCTACATGGTGGTGAAAGCGTTCCACAGGGATGCTGGCCCATGTTGACTCCAATGCTTCCCACGGTTATGTCAAGTTGGCTGGATGTCCTTTGGGTGTTAGACCATTCTTGATACACACGGGAAACAGTTGAGTGTGACAGTTCTTGACACAAACCGGTGCACCTGGCACCTACTACCATACCCCGTTCAAAGGCACTTAAATCTTTTGTCTTGCCCACTCACCCTCAGAATGACACACATACACAATCCATGTCTCAATTGTCTCAAGGCTTAAAAATCCTTCTTTAACCTGTCTCCTCCCCTTCATCTACACTGATTGAAGTGGATTTAACAAGTTACATCAATAAGGGATCACAGCTTTCACCTGTGGTCAATCTGTCATGGAAAGAGGAGGTGTTTCTAATGTTTTGTACACTCAGTGTAAGTCTCTTACCAAAAATCACCACTGATTTGAAGGAGAGGAAATAAAGGACAAACAATAGAGTATATTGAAAACAAGGAGGAAGGAAGGGAGTAGGTAAACATGATGTGACGGAATGCTTCTCTCACAGAACTCCCTAGTTGAGTTTCTGAACCATGAGAACTACAAAACCCATAAAACATGGCACATTCTATACATTATTCTGATTGGTCGAAAAATACGGCCATTCTAAAGAGAGTTTAAAAGGAATGCAAGACAGATAAGGCAACATTTCCCTTATAGGGCAAAAAACATTAGTTTTTTTAAAGCTAGCAAGGATAGTAAAATTCTTGCTCTGTTGATAACAAAATCACTCTCTCACACTCACTTTACATTACAGTGGCTTTATACCAGAGTAACAGAATTTGCATCAGTTTAAAAAACGTAATCATATGTGGTCCCACAAAACTGTATCAAACTATATATATAGGCCTATGTTTCATATGATCCGTAAAGGTACTTGGACATGCTACTCCACTCCCGATTCCGGTAGAAGGCCACTATAACGTTACATATTCCCAGACACACTGTGTTACACTTATGCCAACTGGAACTACGGCTACACAGGGTGACTTTTTGACAACGCAATAAAGCAGCGCTGTTGTCAAAACAAGCGCAATTTTTTTGAGCTACCAAAATGAGGCCCACAGAGTCAAAAGGGAAAATATCAAATGGCACCCTATAGAGGGGAATAGGGTGCCATTTGACACACAGTCAGTCTAATAGTCGATGCCCTGGTCCTCGTCATAGTGCCCGCTGTACTGCTGTTGGTACCCACCCCGGTACTCCTCCTCGTCGTCATGGTGATACTGGTACTCCGCCTGGTAGTCGCAGTCACTAATCTCCGATCCATTGGTCCCCGTTCCCAGGCTCCCATTGCCATGGCTACCGGCATTGTTGCCGAGGGTAACAGGCGAGGTGGGCTCTGTGGGGGAGGTGCAGTACTTGGGGTCGTAGATCTGCCTGCCCAGGCCGTAGCTGCTCATACCCTTCTGGGACGCCACCTTGTTGGTGCCCATCTGCAGGGAGATGGTGGAGCTGTCTGCTGTCTGTCCCACCGACTTCTGGTCGTAGATGTCACGGCGGGTACCCGGCGCAGACATGCCAGCCTGGAGGGGAGGAGGGAGGGAGAGGAGGGAGGGGGAGGAGGGAGGGGAGCAGAGGGAGGGAAGGTTAGGTTGGTGGTTAAGCGGGAGTGTGTGTGTGTGCGTGCGTGCGCGTATGAGAGAGTAAAAGTGTGTGTGTTTGTGAGAGAGAGCAAGAATGTGTGTGTGTGTGTGTCTGTTTGTGTGCACCTGGCCACAGTAACCTTTAGTTGGTTGATGTCTCACCGTGATACAAGATTACTTCTAATTGCTTCCAGGGATTATAGTGACTAGGAATCCACTGCAGCAGAAACCATTGAACCATAAGAGCCACAGTACTTTATACACCACAGACAAACAGTACACTCTTACCTGGCTGGCTCCTTTGTTGGTTCCCATCTGCAGACTGATGGTAGTCTGGTCGTAGGGCTTGTCCGTCTGTGACTTTGGGTCGTATAAGTGTCTCCTGGTCCCGTACGCTGTCATACCAGACTGGCTGGCACATTTATTTGTCCCCATCTACCCAGAACAAAAACACAGACAGCATTCAGGTCACAATGTCCTCTAATCAAATCTCTTCTATGTCTGGCAATGGTATCGATCACAAATTTAATTAGTTTTTCAGAGTAGACTGGTATACATTGTTTTGGTACAGACAGGATAAAACGCACACACGCACGCACACACACAGAGTATACCAAAACATTAGGAACACCTTGAGTTGCAACCCCCCCCCACCCCCTTTTGCCCTCAGAACAGCCTCAATTCGTCGGGGCATTGACTCTACAAAGTGTCGAAAGCGTTCCACAGGGATGCTGGCCCCTGTTGACTCCAATGCTTCCCACAGTTGTGTCAAGTTGGCTGGATGTCCTTTGGGTGATTAACCATTCTTGATACACACTGGAAACATTTGAGCGTGAAAAAAACAAACAGCAGCGTTACAGTTCTTGACACAAACCTGTGCACCTGGCACCTACTACCATACCCCGTTCTAAGGCACTTAAGTATTTTGTCTTGCCCAATCATCCTCTGAACGGTACACATACAATCCATGTCTCAATTGTCTCACGGCTTAAAAATCCTTCTTTAACCTGTCTCCTCCCCTTCATCTACACTGATTGAAGTGGATTTACAGGTGACATCAATAAGAGATCATAGCTTTTACCTGGATTCACCTGGTCAGTCTGTCATGGAAAGAGCAGTTGTTTTTAATGTTTTGTATACTCAGTATATGTATTTTTTCTGTAAATATATTTTTATTGTCTACTGCTATAATATCATTATTAAGTGGATATTTTGGGGGATGAGATCCACTGATAGCATTATCTCTGTGGTAGTTGGTATTGTGTTAGTATGACTCACCTGCAGTCCAATGACACATTGTCCTGCCTTCATTATCTCCTCGTCGAAATGGCGCGTCTTCTTGTCTGCGTACTTTACACCGAGGTCACAGTTGGAGTTTGAACCTTTGGTTTTCGCCTGTTGCATGGTATGAGACAAATTAACAAAGTCAGTGTTGTTTGCAGTTTTACATAACAATGTTTTTACTCTAATTACAACTATACTGTGAGCCTACATAGTGGTGCATCGACATCTCAATCACCAGCATTTCAATAAAAACCCCAGTGTTTGTTCGATCACGGATTTCAGCACCAACAACAAAAACAAACCAAAAACCATTGTTTGGCTCCTTTTCATGTCACGCTCTCCTATGGCACCGTGTGTGGTGTTATGGCACATGGTTATAACAAGGTCAAGAACAACTCAGGGTTCTACATTCACCCGAGTCTAATCGAGAACCTACCACACCAGCCAGGGACAGCAGTGTGCTCTGGACCTGGGTCATGTTCCCGTTCTCAAACAGGTCATTGGCCTCAAAGATGTCGTTGGGACAAAGGCCAAACTTCAGAATGGCTCGGATGAAATTCCCCAGATTTTCCAGCTAGAAGAGAACAACAAAATAAATCAGACTCCGGTTGAGTCTCATTATTTAGTCTCGTCGAATGAAAAGCATTTTCCCTCTGTGAAATGGCAGCGTTACAGTATACATTAAAATCTATTATTTTGTTTCCCATACCTTGTGCCAGTTGAGTTTGGAGTGGTTGATTTTCTTGATGGAACCAGGCTGCAGTTTGTTAATCAGCCTAAGGCAGAAGAAAATAGCAAACCCTTACAGTTTGATATGAACATAAAACTAATTCTCAACTAGAGCAATGAAAAATAATACACAGTTCCTGGTGGTAGTAAAAAGAATGCCGGAGAGATTAAGACCACAGCTAATCCTCTGTAGACCTTTTCAACACCTGATCACTGTTATGGCAACAATATAACATCCTGTATTAAGTCTACTTGAGTGATCATCTGTAGAGGAATGTGACTAAGTATTCCCCTACATCCTCATAACTAACTGAGCTGAAGACAGGTGAAGTCTAGGGCTTGTAAACCAGTAACCTGAACAGGGCAAAACATCATTCACATGTTGGGGGGATAATGCAAACTAAGAATATGGATTGGACGAATGGTATAATATGTATAAATACCTAAAACATCAGAATACATCAGCTTACAACCCTTACACTTTGTGTAGACAGAAAAAAAACTCACTCGCAGAGGATGACTCCGTCCTTAAGGCCCTTCTGGAAGTTCTCTCCAATGGGCATGCCCGTCACCTCCTCTATCCAGAACCGGAGCTCCTCCTCCTTCTGCAGGTCATACTTCCCTGCGATCTGAGAAGACCAAAGAATTATGTAACTCCACCCGCTCTTCATTTAACCACAATGCAAGCCTAAACCTAGACTACTTTGCAAACTCTGTAACCTTTTGGTATGATTGTTCTTTCTGCTTGCATTTTGTATTTATATTGATGTGTGTATTTTCTGTAATTTTTGTAATTCAGGGCTCATCTGTAAAAGAGACCTTGGTCTCAGTATAACTCCCTGATAAAATAAAGGTTAAATAAATACATAAAAATGATTATGCATTTGTGTGCCACAGGGAGTGAGTCTGATAGTTCTAATAGCCTCTAGACAGAAAAGCAGAAATTAGAATTTAAACAGTGTTTATGTTAAGTGTAATGCATTAGTCTAACCTCAACATATTGCTTAGTAAGCAGTGAGCAGCACACCCACTCAATAGTTATAACTCATGGTCATTGGGCCCAGCTGGCCCACTCCTTGGGAAAGTTAGATAAGGTCTGTTAAAAGGGTAGACTTGCACAATAATTCATAAGGCTTTTAGCCTGATCTAAATACAAAACATCTGAGAAAGCATTACACAATTAAAACCAAAAGGAAAACAAATCTGATATCCATTCTATCCATTAATGTATTTTCTTTAAGAGAAAGTCACTTGAGGTAGCGCTTCAGTCCTAACAACAGAAGGCCAAAGCTTTTCAACTGATGCTAAAGCCGATCTATCACATATCATTCTAAAGGTGTGGACAACACTGCAAGGTTAGTTTTTTGGGAAAACATTCCACTCTCCTCTCCCCCACATCACTGCTGTGTGGCCTGCTGCCAGGTGTGGTAAGATACACAGGAAATTACATGGACCGCTGCCCCATGCCTGAACCCTGGCTTTAGGGGACGGCTCCACAGGTTCCACAGTCCAGACTAACACTGTTGCTTTACCCAATGACTTGAAGGAGAGAGAAAGACAGACAGACACACACACAAAGAACGCAAGATAGAAAGACTCCTGAGATGTCCTGAGCAATAAAGTGTCTGAAACCTACATGAAAACATCACAGAGACAACGTTACGTGAGGTAGCGGAGGGAGACATTAGAGGGATATTGCCCTCAGTCATCTTAATGAGTTTCCATTGGCTGCTTGGTTGAAGCCCAGGGCTTCCAACTGTGAAATACATTGCTTGCTGCTTTTGCTAATTAATCAAGAGAAAGCACTCAGGGACCGCATGTACACCTCAGAGTGCGGATCTAGGATCTGGGTCTCAGAGTAGGAGTGCTGATCTAGGATCAGGTCCCCCATGTCCATGTAATCTTTTCATTATGATCTAAAAGGCTAAACTGATCCTATATCAGCACTCATACTTTAAGATGCTTTATGAACAAGGGCCCACGTCCCCCCTTGTCCACAATCTCATTCATTGTGATCTAAAAGGCTAAACTGAGACGCTTGATACATACGGCACTAGGGCTAATTATCGACTAAGGAGGTATTGTTTTTCCTCGCCGTGCCACAGGAGCAGCCCAAGCAAGTTATGGTACAGTAACGACGCTGGAGTCAGCAGTTTCCCCATACAGGAGGAATGTGGAATAGCGAACGACCGGGTGTCTTCCTCGCAGCTCGTATTACATCATCAGTCTGGCACGCAAGCACAGATCTGACTGCCTCATGGGGAAACCAGAGGGGTTCAGACTCTACATACAGTGTACCTTGATATCAAGGAGAACATCTGACTCTTACAAGGTCTTTGGACAGGAAAATGCAAACCCTATTAATGGCTGTGTAACAAAAAGACTAATTTTCACAATTCCACAGTATTATTCCAACCTCAGTGTGGAAATATATAAATACATTTTTGGCCGTGTAACAAAAAAACAAGCTACACATTCTCAGATACTTTTTTTTTTTCAATGAATTCTTATTTCACTAAAGATTTCAAAAACAGAGATTGTGAGCCATGGGGCTATTGACTATCGCCATGCAATATTATGGAATAAAAGGTTAGGTGCCGAACCTGAACCATACAAAGATATCTCAAAGTAACTAAACCTCAAGTTTATATCAACCTCAAAAACAAAAAGCCATTGTCAATACTACTGGTCTGTTTTCATTGTCTGAGTCAAGCTACCACATTGTCAAAACAGACCCTCTTCAAGGTCTGTGTGTGTGTTTGAGAATGTGTGCAGTGTGTGTTTAGCTGGGAGGAGCCGAGGTAGTTCCAAGACTTCCCTCATCTGCAATTTATTAAACCCACACGCTGCACTTGGGTGACACACACACACACAAAACCTGCAGCTCTTGTTGCCTATGGTGAAAACAAGCAAACAAGTAGAAGTTTTCCAAAGGTTCAGAGTCATCTGTGATAGGCCTAATCCTCCACACACAGAGACTAACCTCTGCTGAAAGAAGTCTTCAGTTCTTCTCTCAGAAAGACACAGGGCTGAAATCCCATCAACCTCACACATAACAAATCCCACCTTTCCTGTATCTAACAGTTCATCACCCTTCACACACATAACAAACCAGACTTTTGTGTTTAATAGTTCATCACCCGCCCACACGCAAGTCCTGACAGAGTCAAATCTGAAATCTGTCATCAAGATGAAAAAGGGAAAACACTTGAGAGAACAATTATTTCAGTATTGCTCCAAAGGCTGTGTGTAAGAAATATGGCCGCCGTTCCTACAAAGACCAGCAGTCTTCAAAAAGGGCAAAGAGTCTTTAATGGGATTAAAAGGAGGGGAAAGTTGATGTGATGTCCCAGAAATAATTAATCAGACTTTGATCCCACATTGGAAGGGTCAGAGGTCAACGTGAAAGGTAGATAAAGGAAAAAGTGCCCCTCGCAACCTTGTGTCGTGCCAAACAAGCTACGCTATGCTAGCCGTTGCTATGAGACTCAAGTCTCACACAGGGAGTCCCTTTAAAAAAGGTCCAATGCTGCCATTTTTATTTCAAGATCAAATCATTTCTGGGTAACAATTAAGTACCTTACTGTGACTGTTTTCATTTAAAATGCTGAAAAAAACACAAAAATAGCTTCTTAACGAAGTGCAATTTCTCAAGCAAGAATTTTGCTATTACTGTCTGGGAGAGGTCTGAGTGCGGAGGGGAAAACAGAAAATGTGCCATTATTGGCAGAGAGGTTTGGAACTCTTTCTTATTTCTTATTCTTTCAAAACTCCATCCCACCAAAACAGGCTGAAATTTCAGGCGGTCTTTTCAAACACTAAAAGGGCATTATCATAATTTTCACAGTATTATTCCAACCTCAGTGTGGAAATATATATAAAGCACAGGAAAATCACGTTTTTTGACTGCACTGAACTTCCCGTGGATGGCTGACTGAGAGGGGAGTGTGAACAGTTCCTGTTTGAGTCTTGCAATCTCTCCTCTACCAACAATAGCGCCAGTGTTCTTGGGACTTGACAGAGCAGAGCTAGCTAGGCATTCAGAGAGGAAAGAGGGGGAGAAAAGCAGGAATTGATTCATCTTTCTCTTTTCTCAGACATGCATAGAAAGAAACCCCTTCTTCTTATACTACTACTCCTGCCCACGCAACTGGAAGCATTTCCTGATGGGTCTGGGAAATGGAGAGAACATCTGGACTGAAAAAAGAATGAGAGCGCCGTATCGTAAACGGGCCGCTCCTTATGGATACCACTTTACTGTACTGCATTTGTTGCAAAAATCACAGGCTTTGTCCTCCAAAAACCTCTTACTGTATGTTACCACAAAACCCACAATCTGTCCAAATATTGGTTATCCATTTATTGGAGAGGAAATAGCATTGAATGGAGCCTTGACCATAGAGACAGCTGGTGAGGCGTTAATAAATTATTAACCTTCTGTGGCTCTGGAAAATGTTCAATGGAGTGGACTGATGCGGGGATGATGAGTGTGAGGTAGAAACAATTACAACGTCTGTTTATGTTGCCCTAGGCCCATTGTCATAGTGCTGTTTGTTGTACTGCTGAACGATTAACAGATTTTTCGGTTTTTAAACACCTAATTGACCGACTTGGTTCAATTATTTGAATTCCATTTTGTTCTGTTTTTTTTCTGTGAGCTCAATGCGCATGTAATGAATACTCAGGGATAAAAAGGTGTAGATTCACGCGCAGAGTGCGGCAGGTGTTTATTACGCCTTCGCAGAAGGCAGGAATCATGGTCCCAGGCAGGCAATGGTCATACACAGGTAGGCAAACAGGCAGGAGAATCAAAAACTAGGACTGAAGGCTATAACTGGTTCTCACAAACGAGCTAGGAAAAGGCTTAGTAGAGTCAAAATGGCACAAACAGAATGAACTGAACTAAAATGGAGCTGATGCGACCAGGTGAGTAACTAACACAGGTGAAATCAATGAACAAAAATGAAAGACAGGGCTACGTTCAAGAACACAAGGATGACTAAGAAAATTAAAATACAGAACCTTACAGCGCACAATGCACAGTTTCTCTTGAGATAAATGAGATCCAGCCTGAACTGTGCGATGTAGTAGGGAGTTGTCGTTTCCAACAGGCCAATAATCTACATATATTTCTCTTTGCTTATTTGGGCTGTTCTTGCCATAATATGGCCTATTTTACCAAATAGGGCTATCTCCTGTATACTCACCCTACCTTGTCACAACACAACTGATTGGCTCAAACAAATTAACTTTTAAGAAGGCACACCTGTTAATTGAAATGCATTCCAGTTGACTACCTCATGAAGCTGGTTGAGAGAATGCCAAGAGTGTGCAGAGCTGTCATCAAGGCGAAGGGTGGCTATTTGAAGAATCTCAAATATAAAATATATTTTGATTTTTTTAACACTTTTTTGGTTACTACATGATTCCATATGTGTTATTTCATAGTTTTGATGTCTTCACTATAATTCTACAATGTAGAAAATAGTACAAATAAAGAAAAACCCTTGAATGAGTAGGTGTTCTAAAACTTTTGACCGGTAGTGTAGTTTAGTGCATAAAACATGGTAATTAACTTCAATGACCATAATCCACTGCGCATCTACTTATCCGGTCTGTATTTATTTTATGCCTACTACGGAAAAGAGAATAATGTGCCATCGTGAGGGGATATAGAGAGCAGCTTTTGTTTCGCGAGGTATCTCTACCTGAAAATACATAATCTAAGTGATTGATAGTTGGTATTCAGCAGTCATAAAAGTATGCCTTACTTACTTTGAAGAACTACAAAATAGTGATTTTGTCAGACAGCATAGGCAGCAGAGATGAGATGACTTGGCATGAAATAATAAAGTCATCAAATAAAACAAATGTAACATACACAACTACTGAAATAGTGTATTAAAGTGATGTGAATAAATGGTTAATAAGTGATGAGCAGTAATGAGCAGTCACTACCATCATGGGACTTTTATTAATTGTTTTATTTTGTGTTATTATAGCACTCAACCCAAAAAATCTAAACCCCCCAAAAATCATCATCAAAATCATAATTGAACGTGTTAACAGAGAGCCTCAAGTAAAGGTGGTCCTCTGTAGCTCAGCTGGTAGAGCACGGCGCTTGTAACGCCAAGGTAGTGGGTTCGATCCCCGGGACCACCCATACACAAACATACTGTAAGTCGCTTTGGATAAAAGCGTCTGCTAAATGGCATATTATGATTATTATTATTAAAGCTGGAAGGTGGCCATTTTCCACATTGTGTGAACAATAAAGTTTTCATTTCCAATTCTATCCATCCTCAAAAGTGAGCCATGACTCAAAATGTCACTGTTATCCTTAGGACACATCCTCCTGACCTGATGATATAAAAATAACCAGAAAGGAAAAAGACTCCCAATACGTCACAAACAGAAAGTGCTGCTGCTCGATCCTGTGTTTTTCCTGAAGGGCAATTATAGCCAGTGTTTATTTAACAGCACTCAGGAAGACTCCTTCCTGTTCTCCTTGAGATGTCAGTGTGGGGTTTAAAGGGCCACTCTGGGACCTCAACGGAGGGAGGATGGCCAAGTCAGCACTTTAGAGGAGTGTCAACAAAAACATGACATTCCCTCACAACAGCCATCCGTGTTGTGGTGGTAGAGCTAATTAAAAGGGAAGCCACACACTTGCACACACGTGTGCACACACACAGCCCCCAATTTGATGAAATATATGAATACTTGAATCTTTTGCATTTACATTCAATTATGCAAAACAGAACAAGTGTCGGGTCATTCCTGGCAGTTACATGCAAATATTTCCCGACACTTGAGCGGAATCTCTTCAGTCTTCTCTCAAACAACTAACTGCCAAGCCAACACCACAAACATGTCTTTGTTCTGTGTGGCTGGACATGGGCTAACCCTATATACTGTATTCAGAGGAGCTATTTTAAGTCCTATGTATGAGGCGCACTGTGGACATGATGTTCACCACAGCCTTATCTCTTGCGAGCAGGAGAGAAATGTAGCTGCAGACACATAAGCTGCAGGTACGATACAAGGGCGGTGTGACAAGAGGAGCTCGGCCAGAGTAATTTGAGGTGCGAAAAGATGTAGGGAAGGTGGTTTGAATTCATCCTTATTGCAAATGATGCAAGTTGCGTCTTCGTAGTGAGATTAACCAGTATGCGTTGAATGTTCACGTGAAAGAAGGCACGTTCTTGTATACCCTTCTCTTTCTGTGCATTTCTATGGCCTTCCCTTCTCTCTTCCCTTCTTCTCTTCCCTTCTTCTCTTTCTTTCCTCGTTCAGGTATTCATGATGTGAATATGTTTGTACCGGTATAGCCCACTTCTTCTGTATGTACTGTAACGCTGTGCTGCATCTCTCAGTAGTGGTGTAGGTTACACAGGGGTATAGGTACGGTGGCAGGTAGCCTAGAGGTTAAGCGTGTTGGGCCAGTCCCCGAGCCGACAAGGTGAAAAATCTGTCGATGTGCCCTTGAGCAAGGCACATGTCCATGTGTCAATACTTTCAGCCTGTTTTTCATAATTAAATGGCCATTTTCTCTTGCTAGAGGAATGG